TGTGTATGTGTGTGTGTGTGACGACACTACAGCAGTGCTGGAAATACTGACGGGGAAACACCAACACATTCCACACAATCCACAGAGAACACACAGACACACACACACTCACACACTCACTCACACACTCTCACTCTCACACTCTCTCACACACACACACACACTCTCACACTCTCTCACACACACACACACACGTATCCCATTAAGCATTTATAGATCAATCTCCTGAAGCCTGTCACGAATATGTCCTGATCATATTTCACTCCAAAATCAAAGAATATGAAGTCCATTTCAGGACCACTGAATTTTTTTAGTCTACAATTTTGAATTTTGACAATATTTTCATGATAAATTAAACAACCCCAAATTTCAGTACTGTAATGTAATATACACACATTGATCTTAAACTAAAAAGGCGGTATACATTATGTTATTATACCAAATTGTTATAATGTTTACATACCAAATAAATAAACAAACATGAGTAAAAAAAAAACAGATTTGTAGGGAATGTGCCAATTGTGCATGTAAATGTAGTCCCAGTACCGAACAAAGACAAATCAATCAAAATGTTCAAAAATAAATAAATAAGGACAGCATTTAGACATTAAAGTAACGAGTCAATAATATGCCAGCTTCATCTCACCTTCTGTTTAGAGAGCGACGAAGCACATCCAAGATGCATTCATTTATTAATTTATTTTCCCTATGTGTTCTGTGACAGGACAGATGGCTCCGATGAAAAGATGAATATATGAAAAAAAGCAAGGAGGAACAGAGTCCAAATGTAAAAAAAAATAAAATGTCCAGCTGTCCTGCTCGGAGGTGATGGCGTGTTATGAAACATCAACCTGGGAAATGATGCGCTGAGCTGATTTACGAGACGCAAACTAGCTTTTGCAACCCAAAGTCAAACAAACAGTGCCACAATGATTCTAGTGTTGGAGTCACGCTGAGTCAGTGAATAAACTGTGAAGTCATCTGTTCAAACTGAGAGAGAGACAGAAGCTCAACCAGCTAAAACACTGCAGGTTCCTCGCACCAATCAGCTCACCCAAAATCTGGCTCTATCAATCAAACATTCACACGCTTGCGCATCTTTAAATATGGCACATCAACATGCAAAAATACAAATGGGTCATTCTGTGTCAAAGCAACTAAACTCCACAAACTTCCCATGGCTCAATTTTGTTTTTGTTTTTTTGTTTTTTTTTTCAAAAGAAAGACAAACAGACATAATTATGAAAGCCAAAATATTAAATGTCATGGATGTATATTTACAGAGTAATCCACTATTTTGTAGCAGAGGGTCAAAATGACAAATTTTTAGATAAATTACAGGGGGGTAAAAATGACGCTAGAAAGATGGCAGCATCAAGTTATTTTTACACAGAGATTGTTAGCTCTATCAGTATAAACTTTTGTCTTTTGCAATCGTTGTTGCATTATATGCCAATAGTGACAGTTCAGAAACGGGAAAAAGCACTGTGAGGTTCTTGGAGTATGGCTCAAAGAGTAAATTATAATATTGGACACATTTTCAGTGGTCAAAAACCAAACGTGGGTCACTAACAGAACTAACAATACCATGCTTCAGCATTTCTTTACATCAGTCAACATTTAGTAAACATTTACTTAATATTTACAAATACTTTTTAAAATCAAAAGTTGTTTTTTAACTTTAGTCAGTGCACTGTGAACGAACATGAACAAACAATAAACAATTATATTTTTACTAACATTAACAAAGATTAATAAATGTTTAAAAAAACATATTGCTCATTGTTGGTTTGTTTGCTAATACATTTACTAATTAATGAGCCCTTTTTGTAGTGTTAGCTATATTTTTAAGTTGTACTGTTTATGGACTACTTTTATAGTCATTTTAAGGTTTAAAACAACATGTGAGTGAGTGAGCGAATAAATGGCACTATTTTCATTTACGTTAACAACACAATAGTTCTGCAGTGTCTCAGTCTGACCTTGAGAAACACTGTTTATCCTGCATCTGCATGGTCCGTTTGTTGAGTAATTTGGTTGGTTGATCTGAGCTAACAGCACCGGACTGCAGCGAATCAATGACAGATCGCCTCTCCATTGTTTGATCCACGCTGAGAGGAGGAACACAGCCACTTCCTCTTCAAAGCCTATAACAGCGTACACAAACGGCCAACGGCGTCCTTGTGCATGCATTCATACGGTTGTGCCCTTGTACGTGGACACGAGACCACAGCGCCTGACATATGAAGACTGTTTATGGAGGTTGCACTGTATTTACCGGACTCTAGACAGCTCACATATGGCTGCCGTCTTCATTCAGACAGGTGAGATGATTTCCTCAAACACCACTCCGCTCACGCTGGGCTAATTGCTGCCACAGACCCATGAATTTTGTCTAAACAGAAGCACCGAGCAGCTATTTCGCAACGCATAAAAGGAAGCCATCGCAATCTGCAGGACCTAATTGATTGTTGTTTTTCTGTTTACAGCACTAAACAGAAAACGAAATACAGAGGAAATTAGACACGAGTACTAAGAAAAAACAAATCGCATTTAATGGAAGCCATGTTTAATAACAAGAGTAAGACTTACTAAGCGTAAACTGAGCGAGATCCCATGGGCCTAAGTGCACATATTTAAACAGGCCCAGATGCATTATCACGCTTGATTATACTCTCCCAGAAGCCACTTCAGAGTTCACAATCATCAAGCTGCACAGCACAAAAGATGATGCAGTAAATTACTGCGGGAAAACACCGTCATCTTACCAGCCATCATCTTCTGCGCTTCGTAGGGCTCCATGTAGCCGTCGTTCTCCGTTGGCTTTTCTGTGACCGTCTGGGTGCCACCCGCCTGGTCCGCTGCGTCAAAGGGGTCGGCATAGTCCTCTAGAATGATGAGCTGCAAAATGAAAGAGAAAAAGCATAATTTAAATTAGGGCTGTCAAATTAATTAGCCTACATCATAGGCATTAGGCTGCCTCCAAAAATCAAATTGCATGTATACAGTATCAGTAAAGATATGTCAATATCAAGGCCTATATCCCTTTAAAGGTCTTTTATAAATGGAACAGAGAAGTGCAATCAAGTCTGGGTTACCCTGTGGGAAGAGAATCAGAGGATGAGACTCATTTCATTCTCGCTCTTTCATTAATGTATTTCTATCCCACTGTTCCTCTCTCTGCAGGAACAGGACTCAAAGGATGCTTGTAGAAGGAGGCTGTGGTGAACAACACAGAAGGTAGCCGAACTCTCTCTTCAGTCACATGTACAGTAATTATAAATTCACACACAAATACTCTCAAAGATTAGTCTTGTTAGCCCAGCTTTTTAATATTGACAAAGTTTTGTCCATTCTGTATTAAAATTTGGCCAAGAACTGCTCACTTAGACTGTAATACTTAGCTAATTTGAATGACTTGTATGACCAAAAAGATATGTATTATTTCACAAATATTACACCGATATTAAACAAAGACAAATTGTACAGTGCTACTCAAACTCAATTCATAAACTCAAGGTAATTAATTAATTTCTGAGATTATGTTAATGTTCTAGTCACAACTCCCATTCATGTTTATTGGATGATATTTAGAATAAGTTAGAACCTACCATATTACATGATCTGCTTTGCTTAATGTGACCAAATCCTATCTGAAGGACAACACAGTTTTCAACAATATTGGGAATTTGTCTTCTTCTATCGCAGTTTTAAACTGTGGTAACCCACAAGGCTCTGTTCTAGGTCCTATTTCATTTTCACTGCACGCGTGTCCTTTGGGCTCAGCTTTTCTCAGACACAACTTTTCTCTTTTAACAACTCCATGCTAATGACTCATAGTTGTCAAACCACTCAAACCAGGTGAACATAAAATCATCTACTGTACATAACCCATAAATGCTGGCCTATTATCATAGTGTAATCCACTTCAAATTCATGTGAAATATGTATGAGACGGTCAGGGGACTGTGCGTGGTTTATGGGTGTGCCGTCTGAGGCAGAGTCTACTCTAAGACACACAAAGAGAATCAACAGAAGAAGTATAAACTGTTCCTCTCTACTCACACAACATTGCACAAATATAGGCTTTGGCAGGCAGACACATTTAATTGCAGCCCTGTTCTTCTCCTTTTTCTAAAGGGTATTTCACATGCATGATGGTAATTAGATGCACATGACCAACACTTTGAGATTCATTCTTTACCTCGAGACTGTTTGTCAAATTGGAATTTAGTCTTCTGACGCCACAAAGCTGTAATCAACGACTCGGTGCTTCAAAATACACCATTTCAAGGGAGGATGTGACAAAACAATAAGCTTCTGTACAAGGAAGTGTTGTGCTGGAATACCAGTCATTCAACGGAGCATAAACTACCAGCAATACAAAGATCTATGCATGTGTGACGCCAACCATGCAATCACACATTGCATTCTGCAATGTTAAAGTCATGTTCAAGGAACTGTGATATCCTTTAACAACGTGGTTCATTATTAATAAAGTATGAATGAATAATGAATCAATTATTGAAGTATGAATAATTCAGTTTAGTATAATGGCAATACTACAGTATCTGCGGTTTGAAATTGAAAATGCCGGTGATTTTGCCTCCAGCAAGAAGGAAAGAGTTCAGTGAGATGGTGCCATCTGCTGTGCTGGTCCCTGGCGGAGGTTTGGACTTTGAATTTGGACACCTCTCTGTATTCCTCTGGGGCAGAATGTCCACCATATGAGATAGTTTGGAGCAAAACAAGTGCAGCAGAAGCTGGGTCACACTAAGCCATTCACTCTATACACAAACTAAAACAAATGCCATTCATCTCACATATTTTACATTCTTTGTAGAAAGTCAGTGTGTGTTTTGGAAATGAATCTCTGTAATTGTTCTCTATGGTCTGTGGTCAAAGAAAGACAAGAGCATTACCATAATTGGAGAACTACAAACAGACCTCAGCCACACATAAAAGGAAACCTCAATGTTACAGTCACAACGTTTTGATTCATGTGTACTGGATGATATTTCTAATAAGTTAGAACCTAACATAACACAGGGTCTGAAAGCCCAATCTTTTGTCAGTATTGGGAATTTGTCTTCCTCTACAGCAATTGTAAACTGTGGTGTCCCACAGGGCTCCGTTCTAGGTCCTGCTTTATTACCACCACTGCATGTGTGTCCTTTGGGCTCAGTTTTCCACAAACACAACCTTCTTTATTTTTATCAGCTCTATGCTAATGACTCACAGTTGTCAAACCACTCAAACCAGGTGAACGTTATCTACCTTCCACACTTAGTGCCTGGAAGAAGTTAAATCTTGATTGGTAAGGAACTTACTTTCTGATGATAAGAGGGAATTCATCTAGACCTTTTAACACAACCAATAAAAAGTGCAACTGATTAACTTCCATTTTGATTAATGCTTCTCACCATGTTATAACAGTAAAATATACTTGCTTTTTCTTCTTCTTTCCAATTGTAACTCTCTCTATATAGGAATCTCTTAGCACCATCTGTCCTTCCTGCAGCTCTCCAGAATGCAGCTGCCACTCTTCTGACAGACAACATGAATGAGGATAATACTACACCAGTCTTGGCTTTCCTCCACTAGCAATACAGCACACAATTGAGTTTAAGGTGTTACTGTGTGATTTTAAGCCTTTTGCATGGCTTACCACTATACAATGCTGATTTTCTCCAGGCTTTAGAGATATTCATTTACATGTATACATTTGGCAAACCTTTTATAACCATTTTTTAACCCTTTTACAGACAGGTAGTCCCATCTCATGCCACTGGTGGACACAATGCATTCACTCAAATCAGGCCGGTCAAGCAAACAAAGCTCCACAGAATCAGTGTTTAAAATGACTTTTTTTCCAAAAAACAACTTACAAATGGTTTACTTGCTGCAGTTGCTTTACATAAAAGTGGAGAGGAACAAGTATTTTACCATCAAAACATCTACACTCTTTGTAGAAAGGAAAAACATCTACATAATCGAAGATCCAAAATTAGTATTTTAAAACTAAGTTTGCTGGAAACCCTGCATTTTTCTAAGTTTAAGGTATGAGGGGGCAGTAGCAGAGCAGGAACAGAGAGGCCATCATCATCTCTTTGTAATTACAGGCTATTCCTCTGTGTGCTGTGGGATTGAGACAGGGGACGAGACCCAGCATGAACATAAACTCCAGTTTACTTTCCTACCACAGACAAAGTTCCTGCAAAACATCACCGTTAATCACAAACTTTAATGGCACAACGATAGATGTTAGAAACAACAGCTCTACAATTCATTTCAGAATCAGAGCTCGTTGCTTTCTGAAACTGCCATGTTCACTCCCCTCATCATTTCCAGTGTTTACAGAGGGACGAAAGTGAACCCAAACCACACCAAACCCTGACTGCAGCTAAAACCAGAAACCAGCATCAGAGAGAGTCAAACACAGCAGCACTTTATGGGATCAGACCAAAGTATATACACTATACTACTTCTCTTTCTACATGGCATCACTAGGTTCTGTCATTCAGAAACATGGCTTTTCATATCACTGCTATGCTGATGACACTCAACTCTACCTCTCATTCCATCCTGATGATCCGAGGATAGCTGCTCGCATCTCAGCTTGTCTAACAGACATTTTTTGTTGGATGACGGACCATTACCTTCAACTCAACCTGGCTAAGACAGCACACTGTATACACACCTTGCTACGTGTACTGCGTTAGGCTAACCGAGACTTGTCATTTGCACTTATATATTGTTGCTCTTTTGTTAGTTTTGACTGCTTTTATTGTCCTCATTTGTAAGTTGCTTTGGATAAAAGCGTCTGCTAAATGACTAAATGTATACTCTTACCACTTCTGCAGTGTGTAGTGTGAACACTGTGCACAGTATGTCCATTTTCAGTAAGCATGCATTACCTACAACAATTTTTGAAAGTATACAGCAAAACAGACTGGACAGAAAAGTTAAAATTCAAAATGTCCCAAAATGCAATGCTCTCTACTTGACCATGTAGTAAGCCAATGTGACAAATGAAACAGAAGTTAAGTATGATTTTAATATTTCTGAGAATATACAGATGCCACTCATAGTGAGCTCATGTGATAACATAGTATGCATTTTCTAAAAAAACCTATTTATTACTTGAATTAAATAAACTTAACTAAAATAAAATTATATATAAGGTAATTGTGTGTGTGTGTGTGTGTGTGTATATATATATATATATATATATATATATATATATGTGTGTGTGTATA